TTTTTTTGTCTATGTAATTGCTTACAGTTTTCCACCTGTGGCCAAAGCTATATCAATAGATTTTATGCTGTATACATGCGATGGCGAAGTTTTACCAATGGAATCATGGTTAGTATTTGATACAAAGTACTGTTTTGTCATGTCTATGATCAGTTCTTCTATAATTTAACGCCTTCGATCATGGTTTGTGTTCTTTCTTGAAAGTTTACCACAGAATGCTTGTGAACAAGACGGCACTTCGTCTGTTATATTTGAATTTGTATTTGGTCAACAATCACTTATTTTTCAATGTGAATACCACTTATGTGAGAATCAGAGAATTTTTCTGTCCTAAATTGATAGTGCAAACTTGAGGGTTTCCACTTTGACAAAAGTCATCTCGAAGAGATTGAGGCTGCAGCCACGTAACTGCATAATTTTGATAATATAATATGTAACAAAATGGAACGATCTAAATAGAAAATCTGATCGGAGTGACACTTCAAATTCTGAGATGTCAGCAGTTGTGCTTCTAGAATATCCCACTGTCTGACTTCTGAGTATCATTGTCTTTACAATCATTATTCATCCCTTCAAACAGAGATGATTGGAATCTTACTTATCTTTCTTGAGGACGTTTTCTGTTGACGAAGAAGATCAGTTGATGGCATGGGCAAATGACATCAAATCCCAACTATATCTACAAATGAGCGTAATGCTACGAAGCGCAATGGTAGCAGCAAGAATGACACCGTTGCATAGGTGAGTATTCTAGCAATGATTGAATCAAATGTTTTTTACAATGAAATGAGCGGAGTAGCTGAATAAACGTTGTGCAGGTCGGCGATTTTTTAATAATCTGCGAAACTCTGTGGAGAAGTAAAATTGCTGAGAAAAGTATTTTTGTGTTTTGTGATATGGGCATGGGTGAAATGATTTTGACGGCAGTTTTGTGAGGCATTTTATATCTTTTTTGATGTCTGTTGGCGCAGCCTTTTCTTCATTTTGATTTACGTCTCTATCATCTTCCTTTTGAAGTCTTGGTCCATTTTTCGCCTGAAGTTTGACAGCTTACTTTGAGCCTAGTTTAGCTGTTTCTTCACATTGAAGTAAGCGTATACGAGATGAATCAACATTCTTTGAAAAATGAGTGAAACTCCGCGCCGATACAGCACAACTCTTCATGAATAATAAGCGATATTGAGTGACCTACATCGAGCGAGTTCCACTCTGCGATCGCGTTATTTTTCCTCGCCTTGCTATACCACAGTTGTTTCAGGTACTACGTGAAAAAGCAAAGTTGTGACACCTTCGTTATACTTTATAAGCTGGGAGAAGGTGCGTCTGAGTTGGATCTCGGATCAGAAGCAAAACGAATTGATCTCGGCCGTTTTCCTACACCTGTTGGAGCTTTCACGCTTGAAGTTGCGTATCGAACACAAATGGCTAAGGAGAGAGTGTTGTCACCACCTGAAGAACACGAATCTCCTAATCAGGTATACTGCTTGCGTTTACGTGTATTTACAAACATCTATGTTTTTTTCTCTACAAATTTTCTTTTCGAGCTTTACTATAATACAGGATGTCCCTTATGACACATTTTTTGTCTTTTGCGTAGCTCTGAGTGCCATTGTAGAGCTGGCTTCAAATTTGAATTACAGTACGGAGCGAATCACCGATCACTATTCTTGCTGTGGGATTACGCTAGGAACTTTATGAAGGGTTTCGAGAAAATGTGCTATTTGAAAAGCTTGGCAAATTTGTGAAAAGATATGTAGTGAAATCAGCGCACGTGAAAACCCTGGTATACCACTTTTTAGGATTTTTGGAAAACTTTCTAAAACACGATTGATCCGCAAAGACGCTG